CGCGCAAGGGAGGGGGTCCAGCGCAGATCCAAGAAATCCGCGCTAAGCGCCAACAAGTTTATGTTTATGCCGTTTTTCTTCTTCTTCTTCTTCTTCTTCTTCTAATAAGAACAGAACACGGCATAAACATACTCTCTCGAAGGTCCGCGCGGAGTTCTCGGATCGGCGTTGGGCCCCCGTGGCGGCGATTCTGGCGCCGCCCTTGGCGCGCGCCTGCGCGCCAGGGAGGGGGTCTTCCTTGTGCATCGGAGGAGCGGGAGGGTGCAGGATTGCACTGGGCAGTTCGGGACGCAACGGCGACACAGGCCAGCAGGGAGAGACAGGATGGCCCCCAAGCCCGCGACGGCAGGGGCGCCCCCCGCGAGCCTGTGCGCTCACCCGTGCTCCCCGCGCTCGCCTGCGGCTTCTCGCGACCCGCGCACGCCTCCGCCCGCAGGAGGACGTCCACCGCGAACTGGCGGACTGGGCGGAGTTCCACGACGAGCGAGGCGACCTGTGGTTCCACAACAGCCGCACCAACGAGCCTCGGGCTTTGAGCCGCACATCCGCGTCGTCGTCGTCGTCGTCGTCGTCGTCGTCGTCGTCGTCGTTCGTCGCCCCTCTGTTGCCGTTCGCCGCCGCCGCCGCCGCCTCCTTTTCCCCCGCGGCATGTTCGCATCGCCTCGACGTGCCCTCCGGGGAGGCGTCTCGACCCCCGCGGCCCGCGGAGGACAGCCTGCGGGTCGAAGCCCACAGTTTCGCTCCCGCATCTGGAGCTGTGAAGCCACGACTGCGCGGCACGCAAGCGGGATGCGCCAACGTAAGAGAGAGCTCGTGCCGAACGCGGTCAGGCGGAAGCCGCGAAGTCCCGGGCACACCCCGTGGGCGCTGCCACACGTTGGCGCCAACACACGTTCTGAGGCTCAGCGGCAGGCGGCGGTCATGGACACGCGTTCGCTCCCTCCCCCAGGGTCCTGACGTATCCACCTCGACCGCCTGCCGAGCCCCCCAAAAAATCGATCGCCCGGGCGCTGGTGTGCGGACGACCGCCGCGCCAGCCCCGCGCAGGGTCGGGGGCGGCAGACAGTGGGGGGGGGTGCAGCCCCTCGGGGGCTCTGGCCTCCTTTTTCTCGGCCGCGCGCCAGCCTCGGGCCACGACCTGCGATGCCCCCTCTCGTGGACGCCGCTGCATTGGCCGTCGCTTCGACTCTAGCTTCAAGTCGGGCAGATCCCTCTACAGGAGGAATACTCCAAAATAGACAAACGTAGTCGGGGGACGATTTTTCGACAAGTGTTGACCATTTTTGAGTACTTGTTGGACTCTTTGTCATCCTTCCTCCCAAATCCGCCTGTAGGATGTCATGTCCGGCCTACCTCCAGCCCCCATGCCACGGGCTTTTGCTTCTGCCCCCCCCCGCGCGACCACGCGCGGCGCCGACTTTAATTTCGATGAGGGTGCATAAAGATCATGATATGGAGGCATGGGGCGGAGTGATCAGGACGATGAGCGCGGACGAGGGGGAAGACCAGGGGCCCGCGGCGAGGAGGCAAGAAGAGCGGGGTGGACGGAGTGAAGATAATGGCTCCTCTGCTTCGTCTTCCTCGTCACCGTGATCGTTCGGCTCGCCCGCCGTCCCCCATCCCATATCCAATCGGTTCGTCATGATTTCTGTCTCCCCATCGTTGTCATCCTGACTGGCATGTGCATTGTCTTTCTTGTTCGTGGTCATTGAGCGGCCTCGGTATGGCAGTGATATGGCGCCATATCTACTCGCATCCATTTTTGGTAGACATGTTTTCCAGCGATGGGTGCCATATTGAACCGTATCTTGATATATCTCAACATACATATACGTTTTCAAAAATGACCCCGCATCTAACATTAATATTGCCACACACCTCCCGTATGTAAAAAGTCAACAAACGTATCTGAACGTATCTATGTTTGAAAACGTATATATATATATATATATATATAGATATATGTGTGAAAGACATACACACATATATATATATATGTATTCGTATATATTTCTTTCGAAAAAACGGATATGAAACACAGGGTTCAGGGAGGGATTTTGGATGCTGCGCGGCCCTTCCGAACGCAGCTGCCGCCGGGGAAATGAGCGACCGAACCAGGTTTTTAAACGTGTCTTCCAGGGAACCCAGGGAGGTCCGAGGGGTGCAACCCGCTGGATTAAAAAGTCCAGACCGCAGAGGTCGGGGAAGAACTTTTATATTCGGTTCCCGTTAGGCCGTGGGGCCCTGGCACAACGCTGCAGAGGCCGTGGCAAAACTCCCGGTGCATCTTCACCCCCTTTGGTTTTATAATCGCCAAATGGGGTGACGACCGGAGGTTCGCATTCCGCCCAATATTTCCACCAAACAAATCTCCGGTCGCTTGTCAGACGACTGGAAATTTTCGGTGGCCGCCGGGTTTTGGCGATTCCGCGCAGGACTTCTTCATAAACATATTTGGTCCCATTTATATTGCCTGAAAGTTGCGTCTCTGCTTGGGACCTCCTGCAAGTCATGTTTGCCTGTCTCGGCGCGGGCGACTCTAAGCAGAACTTGCCGCTTCCAGTGCTCGGCGCCTTGCGGTGCCCTTCCGTTGTTCGGCGCGCGGGCCTGGCGCGGGGGCGTCTCGGAGGCCATGGCCCAGAGTCGAAGGCCCAGGAACACTCGGGGGTCGAAGCTCCCCGCCCCATCCGGTAGCGACGATGCCCGGGGGGCCTGCGCAGCGCCGGTGCGGATCTTTTTCATCCAGGGGTGGTTCACCACCCACCAGACCACCCCAACCCAACCCGAAGGCCTCAACTTGCCCTCCATTTCCAGTGGGGGGGGGGGTCGGGGAACATCGAGAAAACACATATGTGGAACCCTTACCCCCCCCAACCCGAAATTCGGGTCCTCGGGTTGGGTTGGGGTGGTCTGGTAGGTAGTCCGTGGCCGTCGGCGGCCTCGGCGCCCGCTGTCGCCCCGATCGGAGGGCCCTCCGCCGGCCGGGCCCCTGCGCAGACGTGCCCGCTCGGAGGCCCGCGCGGCTTCCCCGGGTCGGCGCCGGCGCCGCCCCTCGGTGCGCGCCGCGCGCCGGGGGGTCGGAGGAGGAAAGGGTACGGCAGGTTCGCGTCGTGTCGACCGTCGGCGACCCCGCCCGCGGCGTTTAACGTTGAACGCCGCCGGCGACCCAGAATCGGTCGATGTTGAACGATTGGACCTTGCGGGAACGGCCGATCGTTTAAGGTTGAACGATCCACGCGGTGTCAGAAACCAACGCCAGGGTCGTCACGACGCGAACCTCCCGTATATCCATACCGCCAGCCTTTCCCCTCGTTGTGTGCCTCCTCTGGGTCTCCTGGGAGGCCCTCGTCACCACCGCTGGGTTCGCCTCGACGTCCTGGTCAGAGCGCGCACCAAAAAAGAGGTCTGGGACGCGGCGGTATCGGTGCCGTTTTGGTTTCCCCAGGGGAGGGTGGTCCAGCGCCGACCCGAGAGGTCCGCGCGGACCTTCACGCCGAGAATATCTGATAATCCCGACGGATCGCCGCGCGCAGTCGCGCGGTCGGGGCCTCCCGCGCGCGCGCGCGCGCCGGCGGGCCGTCGGCCGCGCCGCGGCGGCTCGCGCGCTTCGACTCTCGGGAGGTCCCTTGCCGAACGGGAGCGGAAGGAGGGAGCCCAGACCCCCGCGGGCTGTGACAAAAAATCACGACGGGCGATCATTCGTTATTGTCGGCCTCGAGGGGCCCTCGCCGGGTTTCGGGGCCGTCAAGAACTGACTCAGGATGAAAATCTGGTCCCAGGGAAAAGGTCCAGACCTCTGGGTCGACGCTATGAAAAGTTGCGACGCTTGGGGTGCGGGGGGGAGGGGGGGAGGGAGAAGTGTTAATGAAAGATCTCTGCGTTTGCTTGGCGCCACCCTCTGGGGGTGTACGATTGCGTCTACCTTAGATCGGCGGCGAGCCCGGGGGGGAAGGAGAAGGAGACGGCCTCCTCAGAAGACTCGGAAGTCTCCGGGCCGTCTGAGAAGTTCTCTAAGCCTTCTACGAGGACGCAGAAAACTCCAAAAGTCCAGAGGCCTTCTGAGAAGTCCCGCCTCTTTCTGAGAAGGCCTTCTCCTTCTCGCTTCCCCCCCTCGGTCGAGGCCAATTTGGCCCCGAAGCTGCCAGCAGCGAGCAACGGAGAGGAGCGGGTAGGAATAGTGCGGCCTTCCAGTCGCAGGGGGTCGCTTGAGGGTCTCTCCTCCTCATTCCACCTCCCCCTCCTCCGTCCCTTCCCCTCGGTCCCTCCCCCTTCTCCCATCTTCTTTCCTACGCCCACTCCCGCTGTCTCTCCGTTGGGTATTGCCCCCGGGGTCTCAGTGGGGAGGGCGGTGGAGTGGGCGGAGGGCAGGGTCTGGAGGTCGATGGTGATGCTTGTGTTTGTGATGATGGTCACCTCGACGACGGCGATGTTTGGTACGTTGAAGATGGCGTCGAGGATGGTGAGTTCGATGGCGAGCTCGGCGTCGAGGTCCACGGCGTCGCCGATGCTGAGGCTGATGCTGCTGCTGATGAGAAGGATGGGGACTGTGCCGAGGGTGCAGAGGATGGCGACGACCACGAGGCTGGCGACGAGGGCGAAGAGTTCAGTCGGGCCTGTCCCTCTACAGGAGGAATACTTATATATATATATATATATATATATATATATATATATATATATATACATTTATTCAACAATATTCAGACCAGTAGTCTGGGGACGATTTCTTGACCAGTTTTTTGGCTATTTGGGGGGTATTTGTTGGAGCATCTACTGGTTATTTCTCGTCCCCCGTCCGCCCGCAGGGGGACGATGTTTTGACCAGCTGTTTTGCTGTTTTGGGGGTATTTCTTGGAGTATCTATTGGATATTTCTCGCCCACCGTCCGCCTGCAGGGGGGGACGCGCGACGAGGGCGCCCGCCGAGGTCCACCCGCGCGGACCCGCGGCCGGGCGCCTACCACGCGCTCTACGCGAGGCCCGCGCGCCGTGCAGCTGAGGGCCGCCCCCCGGGAGGGGCGGGCGCCGGCCCGCCCCGCAAGGGACGGTCTTTTTGTTCGACTCTCCTCCTCCTCCTCCTCCTCCTCCTCCTCCTCCTCCCTCCTCCTCCTCCTCCTCCTCCTCCTCCTCCTCCTCCTTCCTCCTCCTCCTCCTCCTCCTCCTCCTCCTCCTCCTCCTCCTCCTCCTCCCTCCTCCTCCTCCTCCTCCTCCTCCTCCTCGCCTTCCTCCTCCTCCTCCTCGCCTTCCTCCTCCTCCTCCTCCTCCTCCTCCTCCTCCTCCTCCTCCTCCTGCTCCTCCCTCCTCCGCCTCCTCAGAGGCGACGATAGGGGCGAATAGCCCAGGGCAGAGCAGTACATGTATCCAGGTGCGCCGATGAGCTAGGTCTTCGAAGAGGCCCCCGGGCGAACACGTGTAATGCCCGCCCCTGGGCTATTCGCCCCCATCATCGCCGCCGAAACAAGAGACGGTTTTTGGCTTGATTCCGGCAGGCTTGCTTTCATGGGCGGGGGGGGAGCTGAGCCTGCAGCAGGCCGCAGGCGGTCTGCACGTGCGGGAACCGCGCAAGGCGAGAGGCGCTTGTGTGCGCTACAGTCTTCGTCTGAAGAGGGGCGCGGGGGGGGGGGAGGTCGAACGCCATGCAAGTCATCTTGCCGGAGTCCTTTCTCATATATACAGAAACAGGCTCCAAGGCCCGCCGAGCGGGCCCCGGAGCTTCCAAGGAGGTGTCCCAGAGGCCCTCGGGGGACGGCACAGAGGGTACAGCGCTGTTTTTTTATACATGCTCCGCGTGCGGATCATGTATTCAAAATGCAGGGATTTAGAATCAAGAATAACGATGAATTCATGCGTAAATTAATTCATGCCATAATCATGTATTACAAGTCCTATATCTTTTAAATCCGATGTTTCAAAATCCGATATGTTTAAACATCCTGTGTATTAAACACTGCCCTGTAGCGATTGGAGCTGCTCCTGCACGCCCGCGCGTCTCGCACGCTCGACCAGGGCCCGCCGTCGCGCTCTCTCGCGCTGCCGTCGCGAGCCGTGTCGGAAGTCGGCGCCCTGGGCCGCGTGGTCGGCGGGCGGCGCGGCTGGGCGCGCGGCGTGCGTCTCCGTCGCGCGCGTCGCGTGTTCCCGGCGCGCGCGCCCCTGGCGGCCCCTGGGATGCTCCCTCTCTCGGAGGGGGGCGGCAAAGAGGGGGGTGACGACTAAGGGGGGGTGGATATCATGGCGGGGGCCATGATATTTCCCCAGATTTCATGGCGCCTCTTCTTATTTCATTACGTCCCTGGCCCCCCCGCTAGGCCGCGCACATGCCGCCCGTCATGATTTGCACCCCCCCCCTCTTGGACACCCCCCTCTTGGCCGCTCCCGATCGGATGGGGGAGAGGGGCGTATCTGGACGGAGGAGGGCGAGGGGGCGGGGGGGTCCTGGAGGGGGGGGGGGGTAGTCTGCACCCGTGCTCCCTCCCGGAGGGAGAGGGAGAGGGGGAGGGAGGGGCAGGCGGCAGGAGGGGGGTGAGGACCGGTACCGGAGGGGGAGCGGTGAAGGGTGATGATGGGTGGTGGTGGTGGTGGTGGTGGGGGTGATGATGGTGATGCTGCTGCTGCTGATGATTATGATTGTCATGATCATGGTGATGGTGGTGGTGATGATGATGCTGCTGATGATGATGATACTGATGGTGGTGGTGATGATTATGCTGCTGCTGCTGGTGCTGCTGCTGATGCTGATGATGATGATGATGAGGAGGAGGAGGAGGAGGAAGAGGCACTATGATAAGGATCATAATGAGGATGAGGATGAAGGCGGTGAAGATGCTGATTGTACGCAATTGTTGGTGATATTGATGAGGGTGGTACTGATAGTGGTGGTGTTGATGGTGATGGTGGCGATCACGAGAATGATGATGTCGGTTACGATGACGATGATGTTGATAGTGATAATGGTGAAAATGAGGACCACGCTGATCATTACAGTTGATAATGGGAGGAGTTTGAGGACGATGTCACTGTCAGGATAAGAGGAATGAAGAGACATGTGAGGAGGGGGAATAAGAGATCGGGTGAAGAGGACGGGGAGGAGGGACAAGGAGAAAACAAATAAGCAGATCTTTTGACAGCACGCAAAGAGGCTCCTCGTTCTTTTTAAGTACAGGTTGGGGGGTGCGCGAGCCTAGGAGGACCAAAGAGGCAGGCGGTGTCTGATCCTGCTGCACATTTGCCACCGCCGCCCCCCTGAACCTTTTCCTGCCCCTCCCTCCCTCCTGCTCTGCACGGTGGTGGTGCTGCTCTCCTTCCGTCGTCGTCGTCGTCGTCGTCGTCGTCGGCCCGACCGACCAACGAACCGACGACCACGACGACAACAGCGACGAAAACGGTGACGACGTCGGCAGCCCCGCCGCCGCCGATGCACACCGATGGCACAGCGACGACGACAAGAACAGTGACGACGAGCGTGGCGACGACGAAAACTGTCGACGTCTACGGCGACGACGACGGGGTCCACGGCCAGCTTGTGGTTGGCAAAATGACTGCCCCCCCCTCTGAGGCTGATGAATGGACCCAGCGGGGCGAGTACAGTCGGACCGAGGTATAAGAGCGAGGTCGGTTCGGGGAGGGTGCCCTAATGTTCTTCGTAGCTTGTCGGATGTTCTTGTGCATCCTGGGCAGGATACCCTTGGATGTTATGTGTGTTTTGGCCGGCGGAGGGTCTCATGTTCTTGAAGGATGCTCTTCTGTCTTCGGTTCGGCTGTAGCTCATCTTCCACTCGCGCGGGCCAGGGCTCGGAGGACTCGGGGTGCCACCGCCACCGTGGACGAGGACGGAAGCGGCACGCACGACGTGCCGCCCCCGATGGGGGAGCACGCCCGCGCGGTGCAGCGCAGTGCACGTGTGAGTGCCGCGCGCACGAACGTGTGCGTTGGCCCAGGGGCAAGCGCTTCCTTCGCTCGCGGGCCCTGCGGTGCGCGCTGCCCGCCGCATTGGGCCCGTGGGCGTGCGCCGCCCGAGGCTCCAGGCCTCTCTGGGGCCTCGGTTCCGTTGGCTCGTCCGGCCTGCGCTTGACCGACAGGTCGCCGTCGCGGTTGTTCTCCTGGCGCGTGGCTGGTGCTAGACGTCAGCTTGACTCATCCTACGTGGAAGCTCTTGTAACAGACTCATCTCCCGCCCTCATGGCCAGGAGGGCGCGGCGGACCTGCTGTGGGTGTCGCCGCGACGCCCTGCAGCGGCCGCTGTCGGTTTCGGACAAGATTTCCTGCTGGGTGTCGTGCCCTTTTTTTTTCCCACGCACAGATAGGACGCGCGGAGCTTCGCTCTGCGCCTGGTGGGCTCGCCTGTTTGGCCTCGCTGCGAGGCGCCGCGGCGGGCGCGCGTCCTGCGGGAGGTGGGCCCCGGCAGCCTTGACCTGCTCTCGGGCACGGGGGCCCTCCGCGCATTTCGCGCCAGGAGGAGGAGGACGAGGAGGAGGAGGAAGAGGAGGAAGAGTAGGGAGAGGATGAGGAGGAGGAGGAGGAGGAGGAGGAGGAGGAGGACGAAACAAAAATAGTAATAATAGTAATAATACGAATAATAAGCATTGATAATTTATACTAGCAATAGTATTAATGCTTAAACCAATAATAATACGAACAATACCATATCCATAGAAAGTCAATAACAACAATACGAATCATAGTACTAGCAATAATGGTAATCGTACCATTATCCATACTAATAAGAATGGTTATTATTATTATTAATATTAATATTATTATTAATAATTATTATTATTATTAGTATTATTATTAGTATTATTATTACTACTACTACTTTCACTGTTATTTTTAATACGTATGCATTTTACGAAGAACAATGAGAGCACCACTAATAATAATAATATACTAATCATAATAATACTAATAATAATACTATAATAAAAATAATAATACTAATAATCATAATAATAATACTGCTAATAATAGTAATACTAATCGTATTAATAATAATACTGATACTAGCAATAGGAAGATTAATCTTACTAATGATAAGAAGAGGGGGAGGAAGAGGAGGATGAGGAGGAGGAGGAGGAGGGAGGAGGGAGGAGGGGGGAGGAGGAGGGAGGGGGGATGAGGAGGGGAAGGGAGGGAGGAGGAGGGAGGAGGGAGGAGGGAGGAGGACGAGAAGGACGTGGTGGAGGACGAGGACGAGGACGACGAGGACGACGACACGGACGAGGACGACGAGGACGAGAACGAGGACGAGGACGAGGACGAGGATGAGGAGAAGGAGGAGAAGGAGGAAGAGGAGGAGGAGGAGAAGGAGGACGTGGAGGAAGAGGAGGTGGAGGAGGGGGTGGAGGAGGAGGAGGTGGAGGAGGAGGACGAGGAGGAGGAGGAGGAGGAGGAGGAGAGGACCGCGCGCCCCGCGCGGCCGGAAAGACAACGACCGCGCTGCTCCTGGCGGGAACCTCCTGCGGGGTCCAGGGCCAGCCTCCTGCGGGGCCCGTGTCCATATCGGGGCGGCGGGAGCCCCGGCCGACTGCGGAGCAGAGCAGCAACGCGCGACGGCGGGGAGAGCGACGGCGGCGGCGGCGGCGACGGTCCTTGCCTCTGCGCCGCCACCCCCCCCATTCCGCCTCTTCCCCTTCCGCCCCTCAGTCGCGGGCTAAGAACGGTAGAACATCAACTTTGTCGCTGTCGGGGGCGCCTGTCCCGGGGCGGCCGGGAAAATCTTTGGCCTTACGGTGGCACGCCAGGGTGTAAATTTTCCAGCCGCCCGGGGGCAGCGCCCCCGGCGTCGGAAGTTTATCTTATACCGCTCTTCGAACACTAACCTCAGTCGGTGGCCACTTTGGCCCGATCGCCCAGCTGTGCCGGAGGCGCTGCTGCGCCTGTCGCCCTCGTCGTTGGTAGCAGGGCGCCAGCAGTAATCGCCGACGCCGCCGCGGCGCGTGTCCATCCGGCGGGCGTCCCCCTGCGTTTCGCCCGAGCAGGGAAACCATCGGTTCAGTCGCGTGCCG